CCCACACTTATGGAGCTCACTGTTTAAACAGCATAAAATGCAGGTTTGATTCTAGAGACAACTGATATGAGATCAGTTATGTCCACAGATTATATAAAGCAAAGTCAAAATGGATGCTTTCCTGCGTGCCTCAGCTTCCTTCAGGTTCGTGTGCCAGAGCACGGAGCTGAGGTGAGTACCACCTCTGCCCAAATTTGCATTTGAATGGCGGATTCCTTATATGGTCATAGAGGGGAGCCGGAACTGCAGGAGCTTCCTATTTTTTTTTCTCCCTTCACAACCATGTCCATATTTAGTATACGGAAGAGAGATGATGTCGTTTTCAGCCGTACTGACATCATCATCACCATTTTTGGGCTGCACACCGAGCGTCGTACTCCATCTCTCCTCCTCCTCCTCCTCCATCGGAGCGGCTCCGATCGAGGCATTTCGTTTCATCTATTTTTAGAAGTGTGTGCAGAGTCGGCGTGTTCTCCCAGGGCTGCCTGAGCTCCCACATCAATGTGGGGGCGTTCGCAGACACACAGAGAGCGGTAGTGAACGAGGAGGAGGAGGAGGAGGAGAGGGCGAGTGGGATGACACTCCACTCTGCAGTCATGGAGCATCTCGTCCCTCTACACGAGGAGTGATGCTGCAGAGCGCTTGTTCAGTTTCTGACAGCATCATGTAAATTAGGAATAAGTGAATGAAACACAGTGAGGCATCATTTCCTCTTCCTGTGGCAGGCTCTCGGGGGCTGTGTGGTATCAGCTGTGCTAAGTGATAAACAACACCGCTCTCCAAAAATGAGCGTCCCCGTGAGGAGATGTGAGTCAGTTTATTTTAGGCAACAAACGTGGATAATAATCATGTAATGTTTTTTAATTACTCACTTTGAGCTGGCATGTGAGGGTGTGTGCTTGTGCAAAGAGTATGTGTATCTGACAATGTCTCTGTGTGTATGTGGGTGTGTGTGTGTGTGTGTGTGTGTGTGTGTGTGTGTGTGTGTGTGTGTGTGTGTGTAGGCAGCTTAAATCTACCATTAAACTGTTCCCCTACCTCTGCTGCTGTTTCTAAAGTTACACACTGAACTGCCAAAGTGTTCCGGTGAAAATTACAAGCTATAATCACACACATACACACACACACACATACACAAGATGCCAGTGCAGCAATGAACATCTGTGCTCTTCTGCAGTTCGCCTCATTCGTATAACTGGAGTTAAAACATTAGAGATGGGTCCACCATGAATCAGGTCTGAATTGGAATCAAAATGTCAGACAGGTGAGAATTTGTTATGATATATGCATCTATACATGACCAACTATCCACGCTTCACCCAACATGTGAGGCCTCGTCTGTGCAATACAATAGACAGGTGTTTTTAACGTCCCCAGTCATGGTTAAAATGGCACCTTAAATCAATTAGAGCTACAACATTAAACTCAAGACATTATTCAACTTGCTCATGGAAAGATGGATATTTAAATGCCTTTGTTTTGCCTTTTAAACAAGAGTCATAGTGTAACAGCAGCGAAAGCAAATAACACTAAACTCACCCAGACGGACATTTTTAAACCAGGAGGCTGCAGCAGGTTGACGCACGTGTTTGTAGGTTTCACTCAGGAACAGATGCCCAACCTATTCCCACAACTATGTTCACTATGTTCAATTATACTTCAGGGAAAACTGGTTGCAGTTGCAAACTCCTGACTCAGTCAGATTAAAGAGTATCAGTGTATTTCAGTCCAACTTTAACATCCACTCTTCTATAAACAAAGGTTTTATGGTGACACACCTTATTAAGAAATCTATAACTGATTAAACTTGCGTGTTACTTGTTTCCTCTAGTGCTGTGTCCTTTTAGTCTGGATTATTATCACCGATGCTAATGTGTGAGCTAACGCGTCAACAGTCCAGTGATTCTCCAGCCTGCGTGATGTTATTCACTTTCTCCATCAACTTCAATTTCTCAAACCCAACTCTCCGTCTTCTCCTCATTTCGCCCCGTCACGTGCGGCTCCACATCCTCTGTTCATGTGCTAATGCCATTAGCCGCTGTTCATCTTAATGCTCTGATTAATTACGTTGTTTCAGTGACTACAGTCTGAGGTGGCAGAGCCTTTCTGCCAGACTTCCCTCAGAGTTCAAGCGGTTTAAAGTCCAGCGCCTGTTAATTCAGCTCCGTCGCACCCAGACATTTTCCTCCTCAACAAAACCCAATTATACAACCGACAACAAGTTGGCTGATTTTTCAAACCTGCCTTCAGTCCTCATCAATTATGAAGTGCAAAGGTAAAGCCCTGGGTGAGTGATTACCCCTGACACACACACACACACACACACCCTTATCTGTGACTACATGATTACAGTTAGAGACGCGTGCCTGCTGAGCAAATGTACAGCCGCACACACACATTTGTGCGCACACACACACACACACACACACACACCACCAAACACATGAAATGATTTATCTGCTAATTAATAAGCTAGCACGCTTGGGAGTTTTTTCACTTTACGCCACAACAATGGCGCTCAGCGTTTCCTCTGACCTCCTCTGCACCAAAATACACAGACAAATACGGACTTTTAACAAACCACCACCTCTCATTGTTATACAGTAACACACATCAGCCCTCCCTACCTATCAATGTATTTTTAACTATGAGACTTTTCCCAGACATTTAATTAGATTATTTTCATATTTTCTATTCATCTTTATTATTTGCCTTTCAAAAGTATATTAGGAAACAAAGTCTGCTGAAGAGATGCATGTGCATTTGTATTGTATCATAAGTTAAATTTTGAATGTGTCATAGCCCCCCACAATTGCCTAACCCTGCCCATAAACAAATACTCCATCCGAGAGAAACACTGTGATCCCTGGATTATTATATATATATATATATATATATATATACTGTATATATAAATAAAACAGTCCCACAGACTGACAACACGTCCTAAACTACATTTCTTCCCATCTTTTTGCACTGGCCAGGTAATTTGCATTTTCTCTGGTAGTGAACCGAGGCCCGCGAGGCTCAACACAAGTAATGGAATATGCTAAAGTATCTGCAAAGCTACGAGCATTGTCGGAGCGATTGCCCCCCCTCCCCCCTTCAGTCTGCACAGACCACAGCTGCTCTGAGCCCCGCTGATATGTGGAGACAGCATCAATCCATCCTGCACAGCCTAGTCTGTCATTGCACTGGAGGCGGAGGGAGGTTCTGCTGAGTCGAAGGGCTGCTGAGTCATGGTTAGGCTGCCAGGAAAAGAAAATCGAAAAAAAAAAAACAAAAAAAACAAAAAACAACAGGCGACCCCGACACGCACGCAGACAAAAGACTGCAGACGCAAAGTCATGCAGGACAGATAATATGACATGAGAGGAACAAGCTGATGGAAATGGGCATGTGCAGACGGGTGATGGGAGATTGCACACACTCAAAATGTTTGGTATGCATTTTGGTATGCAAGTACATAATGCACTTTACATACAGGTTAAGTTCATTAAATCAATTCATGTAGAGTTAATGTCTCATGAGGATTTCGTTAGATGCCTAAAAAAAAAAAAAAAAATGCAGAAAAATCAAAGCGCTCCGAAACAGAAAACAAAAGGACTATTTACTTTTTAACATCCAAATTTTCAGGCAAAAACAACAGCTTTGGTTTACAAAAAGGTTTTCACTTTATACTTTCACATGGTTTTTTAATAATTGAAGGTTTAAGGTGAATCATAGGCTTGTACATTCATTAAATCTGCAGGATTATAGCAGGAAGTAGATGAACCTCTCCGCCTTAAAGGTCCGTGCTCTTATAAGTGGTTGGAACGAAAATCACTGTGGAGTTGAAGCCGAATGGAGGGACAGTAATGAGCTTTTCAATATTCAGAATCGGAGCGGGCGCACAAGCTCAGTGGAGTATTTACTCAAAGAGACGCAGGGAGGGGGGAAAGAAAAAAAAAAAATGAAATGATGAAGCTCCAAGAGAAGTGCGAGGGAGCACCAGAAAAGGTCTCCCCATGAATAATGAATGCAGCTTTTATATCCTCCTCACTCGCCTCCGATATCACCGCTTTAGCCTCCCTCTCTCTCTCTCTCCCCTTCCTCTGCTGTTTCAGTGCACGCCTGCTATCTATAGGAATGAAGAGGCTGCAGTGATCCAGGACTAACGCAGACCCCTCACACTTCCCGGCATGCGACTGGGGGGTCTACAACTGTGACACAACTTTGCACAGAGCGCGACAGTGACACACAGGCCCCGTCTCACTTCATACAGATGTTCCTACCTGTGCATCTGCCAGAAATGGGCCATCAATTCTCACCTATGCAAGTTAGCACTAAAAAAAGGTAAGTCTATGATGAGCAGAACCAGAGCTGATCCAACTGAAACCAGACGACACGCTGTGTGAGAGCTGGGCGAGGCGGGAAAACTGTTCCTCACATCCTGCTGGAAGCAGCATTCAAATGAGAAGACTTTTCATTACCACTGTAAATATACTGAGGATTTACTATGAATGGAGAGCAAATCCACCTTGCCATGTGTGCTATTGTGCATATCAAATGCCAGACAAATTTGTGAATTTATTATTTGCTCACAGTGGTGCAGTATAAAAACAACTGGAGAGCCTTTATCTTTCCTGAATGTGAGGGGAAAAAAGAAATTAACGGAATGGGCGCGCTGTGACAAACACGCAGATTTAATTCTTCCCAAATCACAATGTGTGACAATATGAATTGGGGATGATAATACATCAAATAAGCTGTGAAGTGCATTAAAAGGCAGACCTAATCCTCTGGTTAAGATTTACACACAGTCTTTAAGCACTGAATTACTGGGTGTGTGTGTGTGTGTGTGTGTGTGTGTGTGTGTGAGAGAGTGTGTGTGTGTGTCCGGTTTCAGGTTGGTCATCAGCTGCTTCTGCTCTACAGCACGAGCCACCCCCATCCACCATCTGCTTGTGCCAACCCCCCTTCACCCCACCAGGGGCGCTACAGCCACTACGTGGACTCACCAAGATCCTTAGAGCCTTGACTTTCGCTGGCCATCTCGCCCATCCGCACCAGAGCGTCGAAGTAGCCCTTTGCAGCATATGTGACACCTGGAAACATGGAAGCATTGGGCATCAGATCAAGGGTGCAGAGTTGAAATGATGTCTTCTTCAGCTCTGCAACCCTCCCCGACAGCCCCCATCCCCCCCCCAGAGAGGTAAGGTTGGGCATAGGAAATAAAGAGCAACAGGCGGAAATGAAAACCAGGCAGGAAAAGAAAAAGCTCTATGGAGGCAACTACAGGAAACAGAGAAAGCTATAGCGACTGATCTCAAGCTCTATGAGTTAAAAGGAAAGTCTTTCCTCTGCACAAATGACATTGGAGTAAACCTTTTTTTTTACAAGGATTAGTTTACTCAAATTACATAATACCCATAAAAAGGTATCTAGCCATGCAAACAGGTTTAAGTTTCAATCTGTCTCTGAAACTTCTGCTGACGTGCCACCACTCTCTAAGTGGGCGTTCATAGACTGAATACAGCTCTGCTCTACAACAAGTCAAGAGGCAATCAAATACAAACCCCAAAGGCCGGGGTGAGTAAAAGTTTACCAGACTATAAAACCGCATTGTACAACTCTCGGAAGTTATCACCGCAGCAGTTGATGCATCTTCCATTGTGCGGCAATCACAATGTAAAATGAGGAAATTCCACCAGGAATTTGAGCCCAAATGTATCCGATTGGCCGACGCGGTGCCTCGCCGGGTGATGTTGCCCTGCACCGTCTGCGTTTTTAAAATGCAGGCGATGTGAACATGGCACCAAACGATCGCTGGTAATACAGTACGTCTCATCAGTTTCAGTAGAAGAAATTTTACAGTTAATCTAATGTAAATCATGTCAATACGTCAAGCTTGTGAAGCTGAAGCCTCAGTGTTTGGAGCAAGTTAAAAGCGAAGAAACTGCAGACAGCAGTCCCAGTATTGAATCCACATCCTTTTGTATGATAAGATTAGATAAAATGCTATCAACCCAAACCGAACAATCGACCTGGAGACGAATCAAGTTTAACTTGTGCAACTTAAAGCATATAAAAACTAGATAAAACTAAAACTATTCACATGGCCAGATACCACCGTGGGTATGTATTTAGATCTGAATCTGATGAATCCTTAACAACACCATGTTAACAACTCACTACTTTAAAGTATTCTGACAAAAAAAAAACTTTCTGCAGCAATGATGTCGAAGCATTCTGCAATTCAAACACTGCGTGTCAGCCATTATTCTCTGTGGTGCAGTGTCACACAAGCCAGGGCCGCCGGCTGAGACGTAGCGGTGACTGCGGCCTTAACAACAGGAACAAGATGGCCTCAAGCAGCAGCATAGGTGAATTAAAAGCAGGTCAGGGACTGACGGCCATGATGACAGAGGACACATGTCCGGTCGGGAGATACATATGGATGAGGGCTGCGTTTATTACAGGGCTGTCATGTTGATGGGAGCTTGTGCATTAAACTGCCAGAGAACACTCATGCAGAAAACCCAGGAGAGGGGAAAATGACAAAGTATTTATATCTCATGGAAAACAATGGTAATCTATTCTGAGTTCAAGTTCACGTAGAGTTGTTTTCATGACACGGCTGAGTGAAGTCCACAGAGACACTGAGCCAAGCCCGCTGCCATGCAACTTATTGCTCTGAAAATGAAGCCGGCGTCTGGCCGCTCACTCTGTAAACACTTAAAAATTTCATTTCTTCAATAAGATAGAAGTTATCGGATGGACCTTCTGAAATAACTCGGTCTACTGTCACTTCTTTATCAAAACCATGAAAGCCAGTAAATCTTTACACAGCGGTGCAACCATCCTTGGTGAGCTACGACAGATAGACGAGCCGAGACCCCTCTCTGGCTTTCCTCGAGCCTAGCTCCAGTTAAGCCTCGGTGGGATATGAGAGTGTGAGAGAGCAAGAGGATGGAGGTGAGGCTAAGACGCCCGGGTGAGCACGGCTAATTTAATCGATGTCCGGAGAAATCTCAGCCGGGAGGAGAGCAGGGGCCGGGTGAGGCGGGATTAGCTCGAGGAGACGCTTTGCTTGTCTGTCAGCTGAAAAGTGACAGAAGTGGGGAGGTAAGGGAAGAAAGGAAGAAAGGAGGAGGAGGGTTTGCCTGTAAAGAGGATTAGAACAGTGATATAAAGCCGATACAGATTGCAGAGTGTCAGCGCAAATAAAACACAAACAAGACAGACGTCTAAATCAGCTGAGATTGGTGATATGATCCCCATCACCTCTTACGTTCCCTCCTTCTAGGTTCCAACTGGGCTGAAAGCTGAATATTTTACATGTAACTGCTGTTTTGACAGAGTTTCAGGGACTTTATTTCAAAGTGGAGTTGGCATATGCGTCACACTGCGTCAAATCTTTAATCAAAAGTTTTAGGGAAAAAAAAAAAAACCCCACTGATAATTAATTAATCATGTAAATGATTTATAAAGCAAAATGTTCTGGTTCCAGCTTCTGTGAGGATTTGCTGCTTTTTGCCTTTTTACACCACTGATAATTTAATATCGTCTCTGTGTTGAACTTTACAGACGAGACAAGAAAGACTTTGGACTTTAAATTTGAACTAGTTGAAGAAATATTTGGCAGGTTATCAGATAATAAATATAATCATTAGTTGTACCCGTGATTTAAATTCACTCGAAACAACAGTTGTATGTAACGTAGATCTCTCTCTTGGTCAAATATAACCCAGTTTTAACCCAGACTAGACGTCGTCTGACCTTCAAACTACCAAATCACTTCCCTTTAGCACATGTCGCCTCCCCCAGGTGCATTATTCTCCAGCCTCACAGCTCCAGTCTGCTACACTGCCACTCTAAACCTCAATTAAGATTTGAATAAAAGACAGAATCTGGGCTGAGCACCACATCCCAAACCACACTGCCCACACCCAGACCAGTCCAGCCGAGTCCAGACCAGGTGATTTTTAGACTTGAACAAACATAGCAGACAAAACCAGCTTCCTGCCTCCTTCACATCTCTCTTCAAAGTCCCCAGGGATGCAAACCTGCTGCCACAGTTCCACTTAACAAAACCAGAGGCTCCGCTGGCGTTTTTCCCAGTCACAATAGATGCACACTGGGTGCCCAGCCCTGCTCTGCACCGCTCTACTCTAAATCCTGCCTCTGTGCCGCTGCCTGGCATTGATGAAGTGTAATCCCCACTCAGGGAGTCGCAGGGCTATTTTTAGCCTTATCTATCAGACTGGAGTGAGGCCTTCTTTATTGGTCTTGCAGGCTGCGGAGTCTTCCCTGCATTTCCCCCCCTCCCAAGCACACAGGCGAGAGGCCCTGCTCACCACTGTGCACACAGCATACCAAGCATCACCGGCTGCACCATCACTGGAAATATGATCTGATCCCGATAACCTCCTCGCTACAGAGAGACATGTAAGAACGGAGAGTGAAAGAGGTTTTTCTTATCAATAAATGAGCCGAACATGCTTGGAGCTGTGTCTTATCTAAAGACATGTGCCAAGAGCGTCTCCGGCCTCATATGGAAGCAGGGAATATCTTAAATCGATGCTGACTGGATGACTCCAATCAAAGTCCATGAAACACTAAAAAGCTGCAGGACATTCTTTAGGTGATGAAAGAGAAATCTATGTCAGATTTATGTATCTGTGTTTCTGAATCTTTTCCTTTAACTCTTCCAGTTTTTTTTTTTTTTTTTTTTTCATTTCTTACCCAGGCTTGTCCTGGATACCAGTGCCGTCCGTTCTCTTTTCCTCTGCCCCACGGGGAGCACCGTTATTCTCGCGACTCCTCCTGTTCCACTTCCCATTGGCTTATGCTCCACTTAGCTCCCCCCCAAGACATTTCCAATGCTTTTGTCTTTAACCTTGAGCAAATGCTGCATGTACACCTCGATCTTTCTCTCTCACACGCGCACGAACGCGCGTGCACGCACACACACACACACACACACACACACACACACACACACGACCACGCAAACATCTGTGCAAGCCACAAAAAGCGATGAGAAAAAGGACGTAGACTAAAGGCGGACATCTAAGAGTGATGAGCTGGTGCCAGGGGGCAGGGAGGAAGACATGTGGACATGGACATCGTCACAGAGGAGCAATCAGAGGACATCAACCCAAGAGTTTCATCTCTGCAAAAACTTTTTTTTTTTTTTTTAAAAAAAAAGAGATCTCCAGTAAATTTTTGGACACAAAATACTTGACGACGGTCTCTGCCTGGGGACATTACTGCTGTCACGTTTGCAACGGAGCAGCAAACTAGCCTCTGTAAAGGGGGGGGACTGAGGCTTGATGCAGACGCCGACGACACCAGAAACTAGTGAATGTCTGCGTCGTCTTCGCACCTCATCTCTACTCCAGATAAATCAATAGGATACAGAGGCAGCCCCAAGTGTCGGGTCATCTGGCCCTCTGCCCGCACTACTGGACAGACAGGAGGAAGGAAGAAAGGACGAAGACAGACAGAAAAACAAGAAGTGGTTGGTGTACTCACTGGTGAGCGCCTTCTCGTAGCTTTTCCCCATGGCTATGAAGTTCCGCAAGCAGGGGTTGAACTGCTCCATGATGGACTGGAAAGGAAAAAAAAAAAAACAAACAAACAAAAAAAAAAAAAAACGGCACGTCTGGTTAGTCAAGAAGCAGGAATAGATACCGTCACAACCTCTCATATAAGCTACAACGACAGAGCACCACCCTTTACTAGGGCATGAACACACACATATACACACACACACACACACAGTCATACACATAGCAGTCAGCTGAGCCAACAAGGAGGACGAGGAGTGCAGCAGAGATTCGTTTCAAGCTCACGGCGAAGACTGGAGGGATGAGATGGAGGGGAAAAAAGAATGAGAAAGAGAGAGAGCACAAGTCACCAAGGGGGGGCTGTGTGTATATGTTGTAATGTGTGTGTGTGTGTGTGTGTGTGTGTGTGTGTTTGTTAGATGAACTGTTTCCTCTCACCTCCCCTGCTGCCTCTATTAAAATAAAACCTGGTTTTGGCTGCTGACTCCTTCAGCTCAGCAGCAGACCTGGACCCATCACCGTTTCCCTCCATCCCTCTAACATTCACTGAACTCTGGCACACTGCTCCTGCTAATTGCTTTTTTTCCCCCCCCTTTCTTAAAAAAAAAAAAAAAAAAAAAAAAAAAAAAAAAAGGGTCAGTTCACCCAAATTACAAATCAAACATTTTCTCACTTATCTCTGGTGGAATCCAGCAATAGCATCACCAAATCTCAGAGACAGGTAACTCAAATTCTGACAAATAAAAATCAAAAAGATAAGTTGAGTCCCTGTTAAACTCGACTTAGCACCACAGTGACACTGCGGTCAGGTAAGGAAGCACATCTACGGTCATAAACACACAGATCTGAAGTGTTATCTAAATTCAAATTCTCCATCCTTCATGACAGATGGCCATGGATCAGTCCGTCAGTCGGCACACAGGTTGAGTCAGACTGTGTCCACATCCGGAACACACAACAAGCAGGAGGCCTGAGCCCTCGTTAATAAGTGAAGGGAAAAGGGAAGGAGAAAAGTATAATGACTATTACTGTCTCTGTAAGTCTCTGCAGTGACTCAGCCTCCCACTCAGTCCAAGCTGCCCTTTCACTTCTGCTGTAGCTCCGGCAAAACCCAGCAATTTAAAAATCAGCAATTCTCTCTCTGTCTTTCTTTCCCCCCCCGACGTTCTTTAATATGACAGGGTTTTTCAGACAAGCGGCAAATGATGGAGGCAGAGAGAAAGTGAAAGGAGCAAAAAGGGACGAGCGGGAGAAAGGGAGGAGGAAATCCGAGACGTAGAAAGGGATGAGGGATTTAACGTCGCAACAACTAGGCAGCCTTTGAATAACGAAGACCTGGTCAAAATTGCATGTAAAGCAAAATTTTGTGCTACAGTCAGTCCATTCAGATGGCATCAGTGACGCAACGGAACCCCCCCCCCACAAACTTTTTGCGTCAAGTTCAACTTTGCTGAGCAGCAAGCTGTGCTGACCTTTGAGGGAACAGAGAGCCAACAAGTCCAACACCGTAGGAAGCTCTTGTAGCTTATTAGCTGTGCTGCACCATCCACTTGTACTTAACTTAGTGTGGGAGTACAGAAGGAAGAACACAAGGGGACAGAGCGAGCGGAAGAACGAGCATAAGGCAGAGGGAGAGGAGGTTACATCCGGGGGTGGCAGACATCTTTTCGTGGCTGCTCGCTACGAGGGATGCCTGCTAATGACTGCCGGCTGATGCGCAGTCACCTTGGTACAAACACACACACACACACACACACACACACACACCACACCACACACTTCACCATGAAACTCCAAAACATGGGGAGTACGAAGTAGGACAGGACGACACAGGGGTGCAAGAAAAATAGGCTGAGTGCCCAGCGAAGGAAGAGAGAACGACTTCAAGGTGCAAATCAGGTGAAGCAGATTAGGAAGTGAAGCAGAGTGGGACATGGATGGAAACTGATAATAAATACATCAGAGGTGGAGGAGGATTTTGATCTGTGAAGTTGATTTAAGGTAATTTCTGGATGGAAAAGTAGTTGAGCCTCTGATCAAAAGCCCCCCCCCCGCTGTGGATTCAGGGGCAGATATTTCTGACACTGCTGCACTGCCATAAAAACTGATGTCATAATTAGCAAACACACACACACACACATACGAAAAAGAGGTTAGTGGTGTTTCTTTGTGCATTTGTGGGGACAAACAAACAAACCTATTTATACCCTGATTCCCCGTTGCCCCTCTCTCCCATCTCTGGGTGTATTCTCTGTTATGTAAGGCGTCGGCTGCTGAACAAACCGAGACGGTGGAGCCGCTCCAGCAGCAGTAATCATCGCCATGGCTGCACCGCCGCTTGGCAGGAAGAAAAGGGGGACGATCAACAAAAGAATAAAAATAGAAGATGGGATGCGGCCCGGTTCTCATGTCTAAATAAACAGACACATGAAGGGAGCGCTCTGTGACTGGGCGTGTGTGTTTTATGTGTGCATGAGTGTGTACATGTGTTTCTGAGAGCCTTTCATGCGAGTTAGGTGTGTTATGTAATCACTGTCAGACAGGTCCGACCTCATGTATCGCATTCCTCCACTGAGTGCTGTTGAAAATACTTTCAGTGTGTTTCAGATGTAGTAACTGACATGTGGGTACGCACACACACAGATTTACACACAAGTCAGAGGAATTTGTATACAACCAGGACTAAAAGATACGCAAAAAAAATAAAATAAATAAATCATATTGCAAATATTTGACAGATATTATGAGTCCAAGAGTTGTCAGTTGGAATGGAATGATCATTTTTGCATTTTCATCTTCGTTGAAAGAAATCTGGAGAATATGACGAGCAGGCAGGAGTATCAATGCTTCATTTATAGTCTGTTGTGACTTTTTACTTTAATCAAAATTATTGCAGACCGAGATTTGGAAATTGCACTTGGCCATATTGCGATTTTGATAATATTTCGATTAATAGTCCAGCCCTATTTACAACAAATTAAAGGAGGAGTTTGGTGAGAAACGTTGATCTAATTAAGATCAACTCTTTACTGTTTTCAACGTGGGTATGACATTTTTTTTTTTCCTCTACAAGAACCTTTTTTATTCGACGCAATAGCCCAACCTCTTCAAATGATTGTGACAAATAATAATAATAATAATATTAATAATAAATTTATCTATATAGCACTTTTCATAACAAAGTCAAGCGCTTCACACACAGTCAAATATTACCAAAGGCTAAGGTGACTAGCAGGCCTCCTTCTGCAGATCTCAATTCATGGCTGGGCACATTCTATGTCCATAAATCTGAGATGTAATTGGGGGCGGGCCATTTAAAGCCATAAAAGTAATGATGTGATAACCATGGCTATGGAAAACACTTGACCGGCCACACAATAAAAATCATAAAACAGGACTTTGCAAAGGAGAAATGTTAAATTCTTTGCCTCCGCCATTTCCTTTATTTTCATTTGTCTAATTTTTATGTAGCCTCATCCGTATTTACATTTATTTAAAAGAACGTTTTGGGGAAACAGTTTTTGACTGTCTTGCGGAGTAAGCTAAAAGCAGTTAGCCTGTTTTTAACTTTGTTCATTTGGTACTGGAGTTGTCCAACTCTGCCCTTCACACACACACAAACCATGTTACAGCTGTGAATAATGACTCCTCTGATCAACACTGAAACCAGCTGCACCTGTCAATCACCATCAGCACATGCTGACGTTGGACTAATTCATGAGTTTTCCCGTCGTCACGATGTGCTCATACGGTTTTAGGGGATAATTTAATAGGATCATTAACTTGGCCGGTCCTGGCTTAATCCACACTCAATCAGCTGAGCTTGTTCCTTCAGCTGCGGGGACTGAGGCTGATTAGCATTCCACTGAATGAAAGACTATATTTGACGGAGTGCATGGGAAATGAGAGGGATTACCGAGCAAACGCTGCTTTGTCTCATTTCGCCCGTGTGCTTCGGTCATGTGTTTTAATTGACTCACTAATCACCCTCGCCAATTAAATGCCAAAACTCCATTACAATACACAGCTTGTCTTATCACGTTGCAGCGTCGGGGGAAACGCTTTCAGGAACGCGCTTCATCTCTGACAAAACACCTCTGAATGTTATCTGGACGCCAAATACCAGCACAACAACAAGCAGTGCATTATCCTCTGCTGTGTTGAAACAGTCATCCAGATACAGAGAGTGATAAAGATTTCAGTTTACTGATCTCAGTCTGATTCCATCCACAGATGATGAGACACTGTTTTTAAATCAATCCATTATGCAGCAGCTTCAGTTTCACTGAGGCAGCACTTTTTAAATGTCCTGGCTCTGAGTCAGGAGCAGGCTAAATGCCACGCTGGAGCTAATCACTGAACACTTTGAAATCTGCCATGAAGCACATCACTGATCCCTCCGGGAAGAGAGGAATATTATACAAATAACTTTGAGTTAAGACCAAAGTGGAATTAACCTTTTGAGGGAAAAGACAGTTTAAATATATCTACATATAGATACGTTTTTATTATAGTCCCATTTCCCCATCCCATTATTGTTATCAAAAATAGTGGTAAAATAATTTGTCAGTTGATTGAATTGATTAATTAACAGGTAATTAATCAAGTCATTTATTGAGCAAAAATGGTTTAAGTTTCTCAAATGTTTGCCGTTCAAGGAGTCACCTTGAGCTCCGACAGCTGTGATGGGTTTCTTTCACAAATTAGAGCGTACAATTAATGGATTAATCAAAAAGAAAAAAAAGATGGATAAATGAATAGACAAAATAATAATCATTAGTTTTAACCCAAAAATCCAACCTGAGCAGCAAGTCTGAAACATGAGGCCAGTCTTACTGCAGCCTTGCAGGTAAGGTGAGGGCTCGGAAGCACATGGGCATCCACTTGCCATCTCACGCACGCACACGCACGCACACACACACACACACACGCACGCACATGCACGCGACTTTAGAGGAGTACAATCCATCTCACACTGACATGCTGCTGGTCCGGCCGGTGTCTGAAATATTTATCCTCACATGGAAAAGAAAACAAGCTC